GATATGAAATTCTGGGTTGAAAGTTCTTTTCTTTAAGAATGTTGAATATTGGCCCCCACTCTCTTCTGGCTTGTAGTGTTTCTGCCGAGAGATCTGCTGTGAGTCTGATGGGCTTCCCTTTGTGGGTGACCCGACCTTTCTCTCTGGCTGCCCTTAGTATTCTCTCCTTTATTTCAACCCTGTTGAATCTGACGATTATGTGCCTTGGGGTTGCTCTTCTTGCGGAATATCTTTGTGGTGTTCTCTGTATTTCCTGCAATTGAGTGTTGGCCTGTCTTGCTAGGTGGGGGAAATTTTCCTGGATGATGTCCTGAAGAGTATTTTCCAGCTGGGATTCATTCTCTTCGTCCCCTTCTGGTACACCTATCAAACGTAGGTTAGGTCTTTTCACATAGTCCCACATTTCTTGGAGACTTTGTTCATTCCTTTTTGCGCTTTTTTCTCTGATCTTGGTTTCTCGTTTTATTTCATTGAGTTGGTCTTCGACTTCAGATATTCTTTCTTCTGCTTGGTCAATTCGGCTATTGAAACTTGCGTTTGCTTCGCGAAGTTCTCGTATTGTTTTTTTCAGCTCCTTTAATTCATTCATATTCCTCTCTAAGGTATCCATTCTTGTTATCATTTCCTCGAATCTTTTTTCAAATCTTTTTTCAAGGTTCTTAGTTTCTTTGCATTGATTTAATACATGATCTTTTAGCTCACAAAAGTTTCTCATTATCCATCTTCTGAAGTCTAATTCCGTCATTTCGTCACAGTCATTCTCCGTCCAGCTTTGTTCCCTTGCTGGTGAGGAGTCTTGGTCCTTTCTAGGAGGCGATGTGTTCTGGTTTCGGGTGTTTTCCTCCTTTTTTCGCTGGTTTCTTCCCATCTTTGTGGATTTGTCCGCTGGTCGTCTGCGTAGTTGCTGACTTTTCGTTTGGGTCTCTGAGTGGACACCCAGAATGTTGATGATGAAGTATTTCTGTTGCTTGGTTTTCCTTCTACCAGTCTAGCCCCTTCGCTGTACGACTGTTGAGGTCCGCTCCAGACCCTGCTTGTCTGGGGTGCACCTCTAGTAGCCGTGGCACAGCGAGGGATGCTACCAGTTTCTTTTTCTGCTCTCTTTGTCCCAGGATGATGCCTGCCTAATGACAGTCTTTTGGATATAGAGGGGTCAGGGAGCTGCTTGAGGAGACAGTTTGTACTTTATAGGGGTTTAATTGCTGAGCTGTGCACTCTGTTGTTCATTCAGGGCTGTTAGGCTGCTATGTTTGATTCTGCTGCAACACAGCTCATTAAACAACCCTTTTTTTTTTCTCAAATGCTCTGTGTTGAGGGGTTTTGGCTTTATTTTTGGATGTCCGATCAGGTGTCCTGCCCAGCTCAAAGGCAGACTAGCCACTGTTTGGCTGCCGAGGCTCCGCCCTGCTGTTGTGTGATTTGCGCTGTTCCTGCCGGCTCTGCTGTGGTCTCCGCCACGCCCTGCGGCGGAGTCTCTTCGTCGTAGCATGTTGCCTCAGCAACGGCAGGCTGCGTCAGCAGTGGGCGTGTATCTCAGTAGGGACGGGTTGCCTCGGCAACGGCTGGCTGCGTCAGCAGTGGGCGTGTATCTCAGTTGGGGCGGGTTGCCTCGGCAACGGCTGGCTGCCTCAGCAGTGGGCGTGTATATCAGTTGGGGCAGGTTGCCTCCGTAGTGGTGGACGCCCCTCCCCCACAGAGCGTCCCGGACCGTCTGCCCAGGATAGTTTGAAATCGCGGTTTTGTTCGTCCCACTGGGTATCCCAAATGATCTGTCCCTGCAATCCCCTGGGCTGGGCTACTGTGCAAGTCTCGTTCAGTCTCAAGTCCAGCCCTCTCAAGTCTCAGGTTGCCGGTTCAACAAGGCACCCGGACAAGCGCGCCCTGTGGGGATTGCTGGGTAGGGCCGGCCGCCGCCGCCCCGGCTGCCTGGCGTCCCGTCTTTTTGTACTTGGGAGTTTCCCCGTTCTGTGGGCAACAAAGATCAGTCTGGAAATGCAGCACAGACTCACCGTTTGCGAATTCAACGCGGGCTCCAATCCTGGGTTGTTCTCACAGCGCCATCTTGAGTCCCCTCCGCACTCCTCTTAAAGTAGTAAAATAACGTCAATCACCAACATTTGAGAAATGCCTGGTTTTGGTAATTCACTTTGTGCTTTGTATAATTTTGCGATACTGAACAAATAAAATCTAAGCTACAGTCGAGGCATATCTAAAGCACTTTGCTACCATTTTTCAACTAAAAAACCAAATGAGCATCATCTAGTTCTCCAACCACTTTTTGGCATCTCCTTAAATAAGATGCTGTGTTTCAGTGCTGAATGAGAACATGCTCATCAATGTACATCTGTGACTTAGAGCTTTATGGTTTTAACCAAGGCATGATTTATAATGCCTTTCCTACTACTGTCACCCGCAGCACCTCATTTTCTTCCCCCTAGAAAGTGGCCTGGAACATTTAACAGATGAGTAGGCTTGGAGGGGTTCGTGATTTGGCTGGGGAAATGTGGCAGAATGAGCCTGGGCTTCCTCTCCCAGCATCCAGGCAGTATTGCCCCTCACTTGGCAGATTTCTGTATTTAAAGGGGAGAGCTCCAGGTTGCACAGCCACCCATGTAAGCTCTTTCCCCAAGGAGACCTCCCAGATGTGTTTTGTTTCTTATCTGGGGATACTGTGTCCTGGCAGGGATGGCGCTGGTGGGTGGAGCAGCTTCTGCCTCTCCCCAGCCCCACCCTACCCAGTCCCCAGCAAGCCCTGCACTCACTCCCCACTCCCACGCTATCTCCCACACACCCGCCACTCAGCTGTTGCAAACTTGCATAATGTATTTCCCTCGAGTTGCACTTGTACATCTGTTTATTTTTCATTTTTAAAACATGTTTTCTTGATAAATTTATAAATATTTTAGCAGGTGCCCTTTCCCCATGTAAATCTCTCTTTCTGACACACATGCCCACACCGCCTGCCAGACTGCATTCATGTTACAGCACATGCAGCTCCTATGTCGAAGACCTGTTCCTCATGGTTGTCGCATGCCTGCTCCTCCCTCTCTCCTCTTCATTTTCTCTCCCATCCTCTCCTCCTGCCTGCGCTTGCAAAGGGTTGATGAGAACTGACTTCATCCTGCTTCAGATGCCTCTTTTCTTCTTCCATTTCATTGTGTGTGCCTCATGGAACCCCATCTCCTTCCCCTCATTTTCACACTTCTTTTTTTTGTTTTTTTTTGAGACATAGCCTCACTCTGTCACCCAGACTGGAGTGCAGTGGTGTCATCTCGGCTCACTGCAACCTACACCTCCCAGGTTCAAGCAATTGTCCTGTCTCAGCCTCCTGAGTAGCTGGGATTACAGGCAGGCACCAACACGCCCAGCTAATTTTTTGTATTTTTAGTAAAGATGGGATTTCACCATGTTGGCCAGGCTGGTCTCAAACTCCTGAACTCAAGTGATCTACCTGCCTTAGCCCCCCAGAGTGCTAGGATTACAGGCGTGAACCACCATGCCTGGCCCCCTTTCCCACAGATGTTGATGGTAAAACCTTATAATTAGTCTCTACTCTGCTGCTGAAGTCATCTCTCTGTTGGGATGGTGAATTATTTTGTTTAAGGAGAAGAATATCTCAGAACCTTCGGCTAGTATGCAAGGATTCAGACTCCATACTTCCTTCTCCCTTCCTGAGTCCAGGAAAATGGCTGCTACAAACCCACTGCACATTCCTCAGCTGTTCTGGAGAGGGTTGCTCCTGTTCAGTCTGCCCGGCTACCAAGGTCAGAGAGCCTGCTGATGTTGGGTTCCATATGAAACTCCGTATGTTAGGCAACCATAGGAAATTGCTGATCACTTTTTTTTGTTTTGTTTTTAATAAACTTTTTTTTTGGTGGGGGGTACAGAGTCCTGCTCTGTCACCCAGGGTGAGTGTTGTGGCACCATCTCAGCTCACTGCAGCCTCTACCACCCAGACACAAGTGATCCTCCCACCTCAGCCTCCCAAGAAGCCTAAACTACAGGTGTGTACCATTACACCTGGCTAAATTTTGGATTTTGGGTAGAGAAGGGGTTTTGCCATGTTGCCCAGGCTAGTTTCAAACTCCTAAGCTCAAGTGATCCACATAACTTGGCCTCCCAAAGTGCTGGGATTACAGATGTGAGCCACTGCACCCAGACTGACTTAACTTTTTTAGGAGGAGTTTTAGGTTCACAGCAAAACTGAACACACTATACAGAGAGTTCCTATATGTTCCCTGTTCCCACACACATAGCCTTCCCCACCATCAACATCCTCCACTAAGGAGTACACGGGTTATAGTCAGTTAACATACATTGACACATCATTATCACCCAAGTCCATAGTTTACATTAGCGCTCACTCTCCGTGTTGTACGTTCTGTGGGTTTGGATGAATGTATAATGACACGGATCTACCAGTATAATATCATATAGAGCGGTTTCACTGCCCCGAAATCCCCTGTGCTCTGCCTGTTCAACCCCCTTTACCCCGGCAACCATAGATCTTTTTATTGTCTCCATAGTTTTGCTTTTTTCAAAATGTCATATATTGGAATGGTAGATTTTCGCCTTTCAAAAATGTTAATCTGATGCATTTGGGGAAGATTTTCAATCACAAGATTGGGACTGAAAGTTTTTCATATAACTCCCTACAAACCCCAAGTTTCAGAAAACCAAAACATTGACTCTGAAGTTTTCTGACTGGTGACAGTTTTGCCAGTTTGCCTTGGCCTTGGAAAGGGCTGAAGGGATGTCCTAGAAAAGGTGTTGGCCTCAGCAGCTCATCTGGATGGGTGGCTCAGATGGGAGGTGTGTCAGAAGCCCATGTCTGGGCTCCCTGGATATGTCTTTAAGTTTCTAGAGCCTGACCTAGTCATTCACGAGTTACATCATAATGGAGGGTGCAAAACAAAGGCTAGAAAACCTCCCAAAATGAGGCCTTGTGTCCTCCAACTCAGGTTTGATCCAACCATCTCTTTATTTCCTGTACTGTCCAGGTTTGTGAGAAAGAGAAACTGTTGTCAGAGAGGAATCAGCTGAAAGCATGCATGGGAGAACTGCTGGACAACTTCTCCTGCCTTTCCCAGGAAGTCTGCCGAGACATCCAGAGCCCCGAGCAGATCCAGGCCCTGCATCGGTATTGCCCTGTCCTCAGACCCATGGACCTGCCCACAGCCTCCAGTATTAACCCTGCGCCCCTGGGTGTCGAACAGAACCTTGCAGCCTCCCAGTGCGCAGTGGGGGAAAATGTGCCCTGCTGCTTGGAGCCAGGTGCGGCTCCCCCTGGACCACCGTGGGCACCCAGCAACACCTCCGAGAATTGTACCTCTGGGAGGAGGCTAGAAGGCACTGACCCAGGAACCTTTTCTGAGAGAGGACCTCCTCTTGAACCCAGGAGCCAAACAGTGACCGTGGACTTCTGCCAGGAAATGACTGATAAGTGTACAACTGATGAACAGCCCAGGAAAGATTACACCTAGTGACTCGGCTCTGCCTCCCAGTCCGCACACCTCTCCCATCCAGGCGTTCTTCAGTCAGCCTGTGGCACTGTTCATCTGCTGTCCCGAAGAAACCGAAAACACATTTGGTGCACACTACAGCGGTCTTAGCAGCAATACTGTTCCGAAGTATTCTCTCCTCTTCTCGAGCAGGAGTGATAGATAGTTACCTTCACAATGGTGCTACCCCTTGCCCAGGCAGGGAAAGACAGCAGTGATGACACTGTCTGTCTGTGGCTCAATTTCAGTCTTCACAGGGATAGACTACAACACCTCTAGGCCCCAACCACGGATTTTTTTTCTCAGTGGCCCATGTCACAAACCCTATCTCAGGAATTTCTTCTGAATGTTCAATTTTTTTCATTGAAGACAGCTTCTATACACATCAAAGTTTTATAGCTAGACTGTACATATTATATATAATATATACAAAATATATATATATATCCATATGCAAAAGTCCTGCATGCCTCAACTTTCTCATCCTAAAACTGGAAACTTCATTTCTCATTTAGAAACAGGTTCCAACATTCCTCTTCTTTTGTCTCTGATGCTAGAACTAGTTTAGTAACTGTTAACATGGTCATTTTTCTTGCTTCACAGTTCGATTTTCAATTTGTACTTATTTATGGACAAAATTCAGTATTGGAAGCTTTTTCCCAAGGTTTTATTTCAGCTCTTTTTTACATTTGGTTTGGTTTTGGCACCACCAGATGGTGTCATTTGAGCATTGTGGGTTTCTTTTTTGTTTGTTTGGTGGGGGGGGGATGGTTATTTTTTTTTTTCCTTGCAGATACTGTACAGTAATGGTCAACTTTGCCACTTGCACTGAGTTTTGGGTCAAACCTATTTTCTTAAATGAAGTTGTAACTTCAGTATAACTCAAGTATACTGTATATTCTTTGCTTTTAGTTAAAAAAGTAAAACATTTTAGCTAATTAAAAAGCACTCAGGTGATAATTATGTAGGAAAAACAATCTTGCCAAATAACTAATTCATCCTAGGATGTGTAGACAATAATCTGCTTGAATATTTTTATATTTCACCTCCTCCCCACCTTTCCCTAAGCAAAGTTTAAATGCAGATAGAGAGTTCAGAGTTGATGCTGGATATTCAGATTCCTAAGTGGGGAGAGAGTTTGGACATCTCACTCAAAAGTACATCAAAAAAACAGGAATCCATGATATTATACCAGAACTCATCAGGCATTGGCTCCTAAAAATCAAGTTAGAGCTGTTTTCACCCAGGGAGTAAGTCCCATTCATTTCAACACATCCTGAGGCCTCGGCTTGCTCTCGGAGGTGTTGTGCAGTAGGACCTGCTCCCCTGAAGGATGGGGCCAACCTGCCACCGGCTTTACTGCCCAGGCTCGGCCTCCCAGGACATCTGGCCTGCGGGGATTTGAATTGCAGCCCCAAAGGTCCTGCCTTCACACTGTTGGGGGAGAGCAGGGCATCCTGGCACCTGCAATCCATCCCTAACACAGGCTGACACATTCTTTCTCCTTTCCTTCTCCAAAGGCTTCGAGTTGTCTTCTGAGCTTTTTCTGCCAGTCTCTTGTCTGAAGGCAGACTTCATTCTGAAGCTTTGGACAGGCTATCACCAGGAGCCCTCCCTCTTCCCTTCCTGAATCACACACATACCCTACCCACCCCTGATGATAATTTTCTCTTCTTGCTGCAAAACTGGTTGGCTTGCAACCCAGAGAGAGCAGCTTCCTTTGGCTCTGGGGGCGTGTTGGCCCCAGCCACGTTTACAGGAAGGTATGCCCCAGAGGAGGAGGAATCAGCTCCCTCGCTCCAGTGGCCTTGGGTCCAGGTCTCACTGAACAGCCCGAGGGCCACTCCAGCCCGGCTGGGGAAGAGTCCTGAAAGGTTTGATGTGGGGATGGGGTGGTGGGCAGTGGGGAATAGATGGTTGACTTTGTTTCTTTATTTGTGCCATTGTTTGGACAATATTAAAGCTGCATGTAAAAGGGGAAATTAGTATATGATATAGGCGAAAAGTGAAATCATAGTAACATATGTTTTAGTATTATTAACTTTTTTCTGTACAAATATTAGCACTAAATGTTTAAATATGTATGAATGCCAGAAATTTGTCAGTTCATGCAGTAGGATAAAAAAAAAAAAAAGGTCTTTTCTTTTTAAACAGTTCCACTTTTAAAACCTGCCTCTGGGTTTTTGTTTTTTCTCGTGTGTGTGTGTGTGTGTGTGTGTGTGTGTGTGTGTGTATGTGTGCTTGTCTGAAACAGACCTTGATAAAGCTCTGTGTTGGAGCTGCTGGTTTTTGTTATGGTTGTTGGAATTTCTTTGCCTAGTAAGACAGTTCTGTGCTTCATCGTGAGGTTTGCCTTTGTGGAAAACTGATGAAAGCAAGAATTTAAACTCAATGTGAATCACGTGATACTTCAGAGGCGTGTGTTTTGGTGGAGTCAGCTGACAGTATTTTTGTTTTTTAACTCTGTTGTTGCCTTTTCAAGTGACCTCTATTCTTCTTTTAAAGAAAGAACACTTTCTTTTCATATCATAACCAGATCCAACCCAGCTTCTTGGCATGATTTACCCTGGTATCAACTCATGTGCAACTGGTAGTTTTGACCACATTCCATCTGCTTCCGCAGGTTTCTGTGGTTCAGTAGCCCAGACCTGTTTGGCAGCCATTTCTGTTGGTGCAGGGTCTCTTTTTTTGATGTTTTTTGTTTAAGTCCCCCAGTTTATTGCATTTGTTATAGCATCCTGAGCAGAATTATACACCATCTTTACCATCTTAATCACACGTCGTCATCTTAATTATTTTCAGCGTACAGTTCTTTTGCATTAAGTATATTCACAGTGTTATACTACCATTACCACCTTCCATCTCCAGAATTTTTTGGAACCTAAAAATCTTTCAAACCTAAAACACTGTACCCATGAAACAGTAACTCCTCATTCTCCTATATCCCAACCCCTGAAAACTGCCATTCTACTTTTTGTCCCCATTAATTAGATTACTACATCATATGAGTGGAATGACAATCTTGTCATTCTAAGATTGACTTAAAGTACATTGATACCATACATGTATCAGAATTTCCATTTTTTATAAGGGTCTCTTTATTTCTCTCCACTGTAACTCAGACCTTTCCCTCCTCCCCCAGACCCCTGCCTTGCTTTTCTCCCTTTTTCCCCTACCTAACTCCTATCATGGGAACTGGTTAAAAACACTGCTCTGAAAACCATCTTCCAATTTCATAGGGATTTCTAACAAGTTATTTCATTCATTATCCGCTATGAACAGTGACTAGCTTTGTGCAATTGTTTGTGTGATATATGTATGTCTTTTACTATTCAGAACTATGTGCTTGTCACAATTATTTCTTGGTTGGTTCAAAGGGAGGACTTGCTGGGGACCAGAATCCAAATGGCCTCAAGTGGAATTTTAAAACCCAGTCTGTCTCTTTTCCCTGGGATCCCTTAGTCAGCCCCACACCTTTATGAAAAGGAAAAGCAGATGAACAAACAGCAAGGAAGAGTGTTTGCAGAGTATAGTGTCATTTGGTTGTGTTTTTAAGGTTCTTTTCTTACAAAATAAGAGACCCTCCAACCACGGGCTGTTTTGAAGGATACTTGTGACATTCTGCTTGGGTCTTCAAATGGTGAGGATAGGAATGGTGGGGCAGACCCAGTGGAGGTGACTAATGAACATCCCACCTAAATCCAGTCCTCCCCTTGGATCCGCCTTTGTCCTGCTTGTGTCTCCAGGCAACCTCATCAAGTTGGTCAGGCTTTGGGCAGGTGAGTGCTTTGTTGTATGTGTTTGTTTCTCTGCGTTATCTAGGGGTGCCTTGATTAAAATAGAACTTTATTACATACTGATTCTGGAACAAAACAGTTAGAAAATATTTTTAAAAAAAAAAAAAAAGCCGACAAAGTTACTAGATGATCCTGCTACTTCTCTTCTGAGTTGCCAGCAATGACTCAGGCGTCAGAGGTGATGCTGCAGTGGAAAACCTGACTGTATGTGTCTGCTCCTGTATGTTGTGCAAGTAATTTATTAACTGTCTTTCTAAAGGTTTGCTGCTTTTCAGATGCACTTATAATTTGGGATGTAATCCTTGTATTGCTTTTCCAAGGAAGTTTAAAAAAAAAAAAAGGCTAGCGATTAGTATGCCAACTGCCACTCTCCTTCAAAAGGAGCCCGGACCAGCGACAGGACTTGCGTGAGAGGACTGGCTCAAGTGAAGTGTGCACAGTGTGAAGTTTAATGCTGTTGTCAAGAGGCCTAAACCCACATTTTTTCTTAATATTTATGATTGCCATCAAAGAAGAAGAAAAAGAAGAAACAGGCAAAGGTTTGAAAATGATAAGCCTGTTGAGAAACCAGAAGTCCTGTCCCAGGAAGCTGCTTGACACCCTGTGGAGTAGCATAGTCCTCGGAAACTGGGGATGAGCCACCTGCAAAGCTTTCTCAAGTCCCTGTTTGACTACCTGTTTCTCTACATAATGCCCCATTTAAAGTAGGAGCTGTTTTAGAAATGACTTCAAACTGCTCCACTGTTGCTTACAGTTTAAGAGGAATTTCAGATCCAGAAGGGAGCAAGAATCAAATTTAGTCCTCAAATCACTGTAAATAGACTAAAGAACAAGGGTTTTTTTTGTTTTGTTTTTATTTTTATTTTTAAAGAATAAAGCTGTTTGTTGTATCATGAGTTAGTGTTTCTTCCCCAAATTGAAGACTGTGTTGGAAGTTGATTTCTGGTGAGTCAGTCCACGATACAGTGCCCTGTATGGAATTGATATTCATATGGGAAGTCTGTGTGCATGAGACATTCTGTGTTGAAAGTGTATGTTTATAGTACTGCCCGAGCCATCTCATGACCCCAGCATCCAAAACCGATGCTGTAGAACAGAATATATTTGTACACAAATGGTGTGTGCAAATAGGATTTGTACATAGAAAAGACTTACTGTGGCAGATTGAGGATAAATTATTCAACTGACGGTGCAAAAACATTACTTGCAAAGAAAAGTAAGTTTATAGTATTTTCCTACACTCTACCCTGGGAAATGATATTTATATCAAATGAATATCAGTGCATTTTAAATGTAATTTGAAAACGATGCTGCCATTTTGTGAAGAATACCCACTTGGTTGCAGAGGCCAACTTTCATAGCTTTGATTTGATGTTGTGACGCGGTGTTATGCATTTCGCTGTCAAGCAATGGATAAACAACTCTGACCTTCATTCTCATTCCAGTTTATTGACCTCAGATAAAACACTGGCCCTTCTTAGAAGCAGAAGTGCACCAAGACCATTCATTTCAGGTAGACTCACATTCAGTGCCAAGTGCTCCCATGGGAATAATCAGATGCATATGTTGGGAAAGAGTGAAGGGACACGGACAAAGGGGTTTTCCTACAGATGGATGCTAAGTCTTCTACCAAAACATGTCTGAAGGCAGAGGTCCGACCTCCCCCTTAAGTCCTAACAATGTATTTTGCGTGTACAAATCCTGGGATGCCCGTTCACGCTCTGACACAAAGACATGGCACTTCTAGTGAGTGATCAGGAAGATTCCACATGCATTTGGGAACTTCAGGTGCTTGTTAGACACATTGAGCCATTCAAGGCAAGCACTACCTTTGCTTGTGAGGCCAAGAGGGCCTGTGACAATTTGTTCCAGAACCAGTCTGATACAAGTGCACCTCTAATATATGCCTTACAAACTCCAGAGGCCATATTCAAAACAGGGTCTTCTCAGTGTATGCAAGGGGCTGCAGCCCCTCTTCTCTTCCTCCCCAGGTTGAACAATACGGACAGTTTTCACACATATCTACCTGTATAACCCTCTGTACCTCTCATAACTGGTCAACGACTGTAACAGGTTACATCAGGTGTTTTTCTACATACTTTTTACACAGATTCTATGCGATTAATGTAACTTAATTCAATGCATCATTTTATTGTACTAGTTCTTAGGCCTGTCCTTATTTTTTTCTAAGTGATTGTGGTTTTTCTTGTGGTTTTTATTGTAAAAATGAAAGGCTGTTGATGCTTATTCTCTGTAACTAAGAATTTTTACCTTTTGGGGAAAAAAAAGCATTGCTATGAACTAATGAATTGAAACTTCATTTACTCATTGTAAATACACTATTGTGCAAAAAAATTTTTCACTCAATTGAATTGCTAGTGTTAACTGAATTTTGTCTAGACACCATTTCTGTTGATGAAATAAAGACATATCATTATGCATTGTAAACTGATTTCTCTGCCTCTGATCCCTGTGTTCCAAATTACAGAGTGAGAAACCTCAGGAAATCGTTTTTCCCAGAGGCCGTTTCTCTTCCTCTAGTTTGGACTCTTACTTGCTACCTGATTAATCTGATTAGAAATCTTTAAAATTTGATAATACTAATGTGGTTTCTAAATTCTGAATTAAAAAAATTCCTAGTGTTGTGAGAGTAGATAAAAGGCTTTAAACCCAATTTCTCGGTTTTTATATTGTGCTATCACTATGCAGAATGTTACCACAGGAAAAAACTGGGTGATGGGATCATTTCTTGCAACATCATGTGAATCTGCAATTATATCCAAAAAAGGTTTAATTTTTAAAAAAACTAAATGAAAATAAATGAGGAAAAATAAATCAACTCCAAGAGGCAATGAGTTGTAAGGTAAGATGTTTAGAATTGTGGCTGAGGAATCCATACAGTCACGCATTGGTTAGTGAGGGGGTACGTCCTGAGAAATACATCCTTACATGATTTCATATTGTGAGAACATCAAGGTGTGCCACACCAACCTAGATGGGAAAGCCTACGACACACCTAGACTATATGCTTCTAGGTTGTAAACTTGTGCAGCATGTAACTGTACTGGATATGGTAGGCAACTGTAACACCAGGGTATTTGTGTATCTTAATATAGAAAAGGTGCAGTAAAAATGGGGTGTTACAATCTTACGAAACCATTGTTGCGTTACATCATTGACCGAAAACATGGTTATGCTACGCATGACTGTACAGTTTAAAAGGTGTATTCCAAAAGTGGATTTGATAGTTATGTCTTGGATTTTGATGTAAAGAGAAAACAAGATATTGAATGGTGGGCAGGTTGAGTGACCATGAGCAAACACTGGACTGGAGCTCAGAGGTAAGGGAAAGCCAGTAGGACAGAGCCAGGCGGCTGAGCTGTCAGCGAGGCTGTGAATAACGAGTGCGTGCTCACGGCGTCAGGCAGGGCAGGGCTGTGCTGCCAAGATCCCCATTTCGAGAAGTGCCTGCAACCGCCAGATGGCAAAACTGAAAAGCTGCCAAGTTCGGTTCCCTCGGGCGAGTCTTCATGGGCACTTATGGAGTCAAAGAAGCCTTCCTTAGAGCAGGTCATGGGTTTTCCAAATATGTGTTGCTCTGAAAACATCATAGTCATGACATTTTAGATACAAGAGGTAGATTACCTATGACTGAAGACATGAAGTTAATCCACTCTTAAGAAAAACAGGTGAGTCGTCCCAAAATTATCTGTGGGAAACATGGTAATTTAGAACTGATGGTCATTTGCACCTTTAACCCTGACATTTGTTCTCCTGATACAGATGACACTGATGCTTTAAAGCAAAGTGAACCTCATCAGCTGTTGTGTCCTGCAAAACAGGCATCCCCAACCCCTGGGCCACAGACTAGTCCGTGGCCTGTTAGGAATGGGCTGCACAGCAGGAGGTGAGCAACTGGGGAGTGAATATTACTGCCTGAGCTCCACCTCCTGCCCTATCAGCGGTGGCATTAGATTCTTATAGCGCAAACCCTACTGTGAACTGTGCATGTGAGGGATCTGGGTTGCAGCTCCTTATGAGACTCTAATGCCTGATTATCTGAGGCAGAATGGTTTCCTGAAAACATCCTCCCACCCCACTACCTCTGGTCCTTGGAAAAATTGTATTTCACGAATCCAGTCCCTGGTGCCAAAAAGGTTGGGGATGGCAGCTACAAAAGAGCTTTTTCTTTTTCTTTTCTTTTGTTTTTTTTTTTTTTTGAGATGGAGTCTCACTCTTTTGGAGTGCAATGGCGTGATCTTGGCTTACTGCAACCTCCACCTCCCGGTTTCAAGTGATTCTCCTGCCTCAGCCTCCTGAGTGGCTGGGACTACAGGTGCGTGCCACCAAGTCCAGCTAATGTTTTGTATTTTTAGTAGAAATAGGGTTTCACCATGTTAGCCAGGATGGTCTTGATCTCCTGACCTCATGATCGGCCTGCCTTGGTCTCCCAAAGTGCTGGGATTACAGGTGTGAGCCACCGTGCCCGGCCTACAAAAGAGCTTTTAAGCACTGTCCAGCCCCAGGTGGACAGCAGCCATTTTCTTTCCTACTTTACATGTGCTTCTTATGGGAAATTTGCATCTGCCTCTGGAGCACAGCGAGGACTGTTCCCTCTACACCAGGCCCTGCCTGCCGTTTTGTTGTATTTGGAAAGACCCGAGCTGTTCTTTGAAATTATTTTAGAATCTTTCACTCTTCTCCAACCCACCACCTCATCCTACTCTACCCCACCACTTGGGATGCATTAGCATGACTGTACTTAAAGTTTAACACCAGTTGGTGAAGATGCCATGAGCAGAAATGGGTTTCCAATTCTCCTCACTGAGCACCTATGTCTTTCTGGTGCAGGCAAACACAATACATCCTGGTGTCAAAAAAAATCTAGGCCCAAAGAGATGGAGGTAGCCACACATCCCATTATGGAAGCATCTTTCGTTGCACTCAAGAGCATGACACCACCTGTCTCCACACCTGTCCCTGGTTCCTGCAGATCCTGACACATGCCTGCCACTGGCCCACTTAGTTACAAAGAGGCATTGCTGATTCTCCATGGCTAGTTCTTCCTCTTTCCTCTTGAAGATAAGTGCATCCCTGAAACAGTGCCCCTCATCCCAAAGCAGTGAATGGAAACCTTCAGAGACACTGATGCTAGGAGTCACTGAAAACATTACATTTTACACTGGGCCCTCCAGCCTTTGTTTTTTCTTTTTAGAGACAAGGCCTTGCTATCTTGCCCACGCTGGAGTGCGGTGGCTATTCACCGGCATGATCAGAGTGCACCGCATTTGTGAATTCCTGGCCGCAAGAATCCTCTCACCTCAGCCTCCCAAGTAGCTGGGGCTACAGGCAGGCTGCCATGCCCAGCTCAAACTTGTTTTTTAAAACCTCCATTTGTGCTGTGTTGTTGACAACCCAGTGAAGACTTTTCAGAGTGAAAAAAAAGTTGAAATTGCCAAAAACATTGCCATAGAGGCCTCTGAAACCTATTGACAAACATATGACAAAAGATGACAGTAAATGAATAAGAAATAAAGATTGGAAAATTGGAAGCAATGGGTAAAGTATTGCCTTTGGCGTTTACACATAAATATTCATTCAAGCAATACTGTACTACATACTGAGCATCCAAGATGTCAAATACCTTATCCTTATTGCTTTCACAGGCTAGTCAGGCAGAGAGATGTACAAATAAATCATTGCCCTGGGGCTTCTGACTTTTACAGACAGGAGAACAAGGCTCTCTGGAAGGACTGTGGGTCTCAGAGCAGCTGGATATGGATTTGAATTCCAGCAGATTCCAGCAGGCTGTGTGATCTTTAACTGTGGAGAAAGTTAATCTCTTTGAGCCTTGTCTGAACTATAAAATGAGAATGAACAATAACAACTTGAC